TCAACGACAGGTTACAGCGATCACAAAAAGCCAGTGACGCAAATTCGTCGCGGCGAATGGGATGTCGAGGGGCGCCACTGGTCCGGTAAAACACGGCCTGAGACAAAAGCCGCCCGCTGACTTCCGCCACATCCCGGGAAAACTCAGTCCCAATATGAGAAACCCACCTCTACCGCTACAGTCATCAATACAACTATCAAATCGCTACAGTAGGGTAGCGCATCCACGCTCGGAGGGTCTGACAGGGGTAGGCACTGCTTGAGATTCCGGGTAGTCAGGGCCACGCCCCTGCCCTGGCCCCGCCCCCCGCGCTCCAGCCGTCCCGGGGGCGAGCTCACAGCTCCCCCCAAGGGTCCCCGCGTGGCCTCGGGCCGGGCCGCCGAGCTCCCCCGTCGTGGGGAACCGACGCCGGAAGAGGACGGCTGTGCGGGACGCGAGCGCGCCCAGGCCTGACTCCCTGCCCCTCCCGGGCCACGGGGCCGGCCTGTCCCGGGACCCACTCGCCCTGCGATCCCGGCCCCTCCCCAGCAGCCCCTCTGACCCCTCCTCTCCCCCCGTCCTCCCGTCCCCTGTGGTCACCCCCGACCCTGGGGTGTGTGAGCTCCGGGTACGGCCCAGCCGCGGGGAGCATCAGGCTGAGCTGAGGGCCTACACTGTCAGCGCCCGGCTCATGCCACCAGCAGCGAACCCCGCGGGAGGGGGGGGCGGTGTAGGGACCCTGCCAGCTCCGCGTGGGTCACACAGCGCCTCCCAGGCACCTGCCTCCTGACAGACACGGACACCCTCCTGCATGTGAGCGAGTCCCCATGGGGGCGCCATGGAGGGGGGGGCAGCGGCTTCCGGACGTTCCCGCCGCGGCCCCTCCTTGCCATGGCCTGGTCTTGTCCACTCCACCTGCTCACCGTCTGTCTGTGTCTCGCTGGGGGCCTGGGGCCTCGGGGCAGACACCCCAGGGCACTTGTGACCGGTGCCCGGTCAAGCTTTCCAACCCCATCCTTCAACCCAGGACCCCTGGGCAGCTCTGTGGCAGCCAGGCCCCTGGGGCCCTCAGCCTGTGGGTCCCTCAGCCCCCCCTCCACGGGGCAGGCCTTCGAGATGGCTGGCTTGTTTCCTGGCGGCCGCAGCCCCGCAGGCCGGCCGCCCGCTCCCCCAGCAGCTGACACGCAGAGCGAGCGGAGCCTGGCACAGGGCGGGTGTCGGCGACGTCTGTCGGAGGAATGACCCTCCTCGGGGAGACAGACACGCTCGGTCCCCACAAACCTCCTGCTGCTGCTGCTGCGGGTCCTTACGGTGGCGGCAGAGCACCCCGGCACTGGGAGGGGGGAGGAGGCAGACCCACCTCCCCAGGTGGCCGGGCTGGGCCAGAGCTGGTGAAGACCAGGCCAGGCAGGACAGACCAGGGCCCCAGGAGGCACCTGTGAAAACAAGCAAGTCCCAGAGACAAGCTGTAGGTGCCCTGTGGGGACCCGGGGGCGCTGGGCCAGCAGCGTGACCAGTCCCCCAAGGCAGGAAACACCCGGAAGTTCCCTCGGGGTCCCCCTTGGACACGGCTGGGAGGACCCTCACCTGCCCGTGGGGAGGGGCCGCCTGTTAGCACCTGTGCGCTGCCGCCACACGTCTGCTCCGGTCGGAAGGCGGCTCCTCCGGGCCTGCCTGCCCCATCCCCTCCTGTGCTCAGGGCCACATTCCAGGCTTCAGCTGACGGATTCCAGGGCCGACCACGGCGGAGCCACAGACGTGACTGTGGGGACAGAGGGCATCTTTGCCATCTACCTGAGTGCTTGTGCGGCTCACGTGTTTCTTTCCAAATCTGATAGCTTACAAAAAAAAAAAAAAAAAAAGCCCAGCGGCTGTGACTCAGAGGTCGGACGCAATCCATGAACCCAGAGGTCATAGTCCATTCTCGCTCAGGGCACAGGCCCGGGTTGCGGGCTCCATCCCCAGTAGGGCACGTGCAGGAGGCAGCCGATCGATGTTTCTCTCTCTATCCCTCTCCCTTCCTCTCTCTCTAAACTCACAAACATTACAAAAAAGTTTTTAAGACAAGCTCTACATTCATGTTCACAGCTGCTCTATTTGTAACAGCCCCAAAGTGAAATAAGTCCAGATGTGCATGTGAGCGAGTAAACAGCCTGTGGTCCAGCCATCCAGCTGAACGGCGCGCCCCGGGCCAGAGGAGCAGCGTGGCACGGCCCCCGGGAGGCTGCGGCGTCCCACACCGTTCCACTCGCCGAGGTCTGTGGAATCAGGGCAAATCGAGGGTTGCCCGACATTAGTGGGGGGACGGGGGAGGGCGGGAAGCAGGCATGGCTCCGGGAAGGCATGCCAGGGGCCTGCTCGGGGTCTGACACACCCACCCGCCCGAGAGAACACCGTGTCCAGCCCAGCACGCGACGAGCGCCCTCGAACCCGGGACCCGCGTCACCATCCCGGCTGTGAGATGATGCTGCGTGTTGCCCGATGTTGCCGTTTTGCGGGCAGTGGGCAATGTGCACAAGGTGTCGCTCTGCCTGTGACCAGGTGTACAATCATCGCAATAAAAATTTCAATGAGGCCATAACACCCATACGCAAGCTAAAATCTAAGAGGCTGGGCCCCAACATGCCACCCCGTCTCTGCCCTCCACGGAGACGCGCTGGCTTCCAACATCCTGTCGCATCTGCTGCTCCCCCACGTCTCTGCATAGCAGGCTTCTGCTGGGAGTCTGACCGAGAGGTCCAGGCAGCCCCCCGCCCCCCCCGCACAGCTCAGCGCCTCCTAACAGCAGGACCTTCTACACGATCATAACCCGTCCCCGAACCCAACCACCAGACGAGAGCACTATCCACCACGCAGCCCACACTGCAGTCTCCCTGGTCCCCAAGGGTCCTTCAGCGCTGGGCGTCCCATGGGTTGGGCGGTCATCACTCCGTCCATCTCGGGTCTGTTTTAATTTCTCACAACGCTGGCAGGCCTGTTTCCCTCCGAATCCCCCCGGATGGGCGGGCGCGCCCTGGGCCGGTGCCGGGGTTAATGCTGGGGGTGGTGATGCGGCACAGACGGCAGCCCACGGCAGGCCCGGGGCACCCGTCTGTCCGGCTGGTGGGGACGTTTAGTCTAAACACGGGCCTGGCCAGCTTCCCCCAGGCCCAGGCCCCTGGAGAGGAAGTAAGCCATAAACATGTTTCCCCAGGAACCATTTCCCACCGGCTTATCAGTGACGGCCTGGCCTGAGCCCATCATTAACCCCGTGGCTGCAAAATTGGGGCTTTCCGGTTTTACCGTTGCCCCTCCATCCAAGAGCCATTGGCGGGGGGTGGGGGGTCGGGCGTCAAGAAACACTGATCCACAGATGATGTCGTACAGGGCCGTGCACCTGAAACCGGTGTAAGTTTATTAACCAATGTCACCCCAATACATTCACTTTTTTTTAAAAGGGAAAGAAATGCTTCCCCTTCCTTTTAAAAAAATACTTAAGTATTGACTCACTGGCGTGGTTCAGGGGCCGAGTGTTGCCCTATGAACCAGGAGGTCACAGTTTGATTCCCGGCCAGGGCACAGGCCTGATTTGAGGACTCAATCCCCAGTGGGGGCCGTGCAGGAGGCAGCCGATCAATGGTTCTCTCTCATCATTGATGTTTCTCTCTCTCCCCTCACCCTCACCCTTCTTCTCTGAAATCAATAAAATATTTTTTTAAATTCTTAAATATGAATATGAATTCATGGATTCTTTTTCCATTCAATTATTCTTTTTGATGCTCCAATGGATCCAAATTCAGCCAGTGAGCCCAGCCCCCTTCGAGCTGGTTCCTGTACTCCTTTTTTTTCGGGGGGGGGGGGGTTATTTTTAAAAAATATTGTTATTGATTTCAGAGAGGAAGGGAGAGGGAGAGAGAAACATCCATGATGAGAGAGAATCAGGGATCAGCTGCCTCCTGCACGCCCCCCACTGGGGATCCAGCCCACAACCCGGGCATGTGCCCTTGACCAAAATCAAACCTGGGGCGCTCCAGTCTGTAGGCCAACGCTCCACCCACTGAGCCACACCGGCCAGGACTGGGGGCGGTATTTTTATATTATTTCAAACTTGGAAGAAAGGCTCCGGAGCAGCCAGGAGCCCCCTCCGTGCGCCTCAGACGGACCCGGGCTGCTCACGTGTGCCCCACCCGCTCCGCCGTCTCTGGCTCCACATACGTGTCCTGTTGTCCTGAACCGTCTGAGGGAACAGACATGTGAGCCGTGGCCAGGAAGCATTTCCGTGTGTTTCCGAAGAGCAAGGCCTGCTCCCATCCAACCTCCAGGCCGCTGCACATGGGGAAGCTCGCTCGCGGCCATCCGCCCTCCCAGCTGCCCCCCACCCGCTCCTTCCCGGCCGTTGCCCCCGGAAGAGAGTTTTTATGAGTCTGAGTCAAACTCTTACCCGTGGGGCACAGCACACTCACCATTCACATCACGGGAGATGCTACCGGCAACAGATAACAGGAGGGCTGGCCTCACGCTCCGGGGGGGCCCTGAGGGCTCCGGGATGGGAAACTGCTCTGACATTTCAGGGGTTTGTTATCTTAGATGCACAGATACCCCAGCAGTAAAGGCCGGCTCGCCCAGGACATTCCTGGCACCGCCCGACCCGGGGTTTCCAGGAGAGCCCTCCACCCGCTAGGGGGGCGGGATTGAGAAGCCATTGCCTGGGGCAGAGCCGGCTGGAAGCTGCTGGGGTGTCCCTGCTCCCCAGGTCCCGGCAGGGGACAGAGCTACCTCCTGAAAGCACCGAATACCTCACCCCCAGCCACGCCGCCTCCTCCTCTGCCCTCATCCCAGGTCTCTATTTGCCGAATTGTATGAAATTGTCACTATTCAACCATTGTCTTTTTATATAATATTTTTGATTGATTTCAGAGAGGAAGGGAGAGGGAGAGAGATAAAAAACATCAATGATGAAAGAGAATCTTTGATCAGCTGCCTCCTGCACGCCCCCTACTGGGAATCGAGCCCGCAACCCAGGCCTGTGCCCTTGACCAGAATCAAGCCTGGCGCTCTATCCACTGAGCCACACTGGCCGGGGCGAGAACACACTATTGTTAAAGTTGACTTTGAGAGGGAGGCATCCGTGTGAGAGGGAAACATCAATCGGCTGCCTCCGCACAGGCCCCCCCAGGGAGCGAACCTGAAACCTGGGTCTGTGCCCTGACGGGGATGGAACCGGCCGCCCCAGGTTGCACTGGATGGACCAGCGACACTCCAACCCACCGAGCCACCCCGGCCGGCCGGGCGGGAGGTCACAGGACTGATCTCACGAAATGAGTGTCCAAGTTGTTACCCCAACCGAGGGCAGAGCCATCACCGCCCGGGACCGAGGCCCCTGCTCAGCACGCGTGTCCTCCTCCGAGGAGTGGACGGCGCCGCCCAGGTGGACGCTCGGGCTCAGCACGGTCGCCACCCGCCCTGTGAGCCGCTCGGAAGGCAGCGGGGCCTGGAGGGCCGGACGGCCACCTCCCTCCCTCCTCCCGGGGAGAGGCTGACAGCTGTTCCCAGGGTCTGCTTTGAATTACAACGTGGCGTGGCCCTTTAAGAGCAGCATCCGCGCCCCGCGGCCTGCTGCCCCCTTTGAAGTCGCTGGCGCTGACAGGTTCCCAGGGGCAGATCTGAGGGTTCGGTTCTGCCTCCCCAGAGGCCACGTGCGGATCACAGGGTGGGAGGGAGGGTGGGCCGAAGGTCACATGGCGGGCTGGCCACGCTGGCCGGCAGCCGCTGCAGCGGGCGCTGGGGACCAGCCGCTGCACAGATGGGGACCAGCCGGCCTGGAGCTCGTTAGGCCGCAGCCGAGCCAGCAGCTGGGAGCTGAGGAGGCGCTGACACAGCCTCCCGGCCGGGGCCGCCGACCTTCCCCGCCCTTCCTCACCTGTGCGCGACCAGCAAGCACATCTGGCACCTGGGGGACACCCCAGAGGCCCCCCCCACCACGTGCAGGAAGGCCCTCCTGTCCCCATGCTCCTCCCCGGCTCGGCAATGTGGCCAGTCCCGGGGGCAGGGGGGGGGAACCCTCAGGTCGGCCGCAGGAGGGCCCTGCAGCTTGGGGATGGGGAGGGCGGGGTGGGCAGGGGTGCTGAGAGCAGGGCCTGGTCCTGCCTATTAACTAGTGAGGTCTAGGGCCCCCAGGGGGTGAGCCTGAGGCCAAAAAACCCACCCCCGGCCCTCTGTGCACTGGCTGGGGGTGGGGTCACAGCAGAGTGACTGCAGCATCTAGGACTCGGCTTCTTTTTATCATTATTTATTTTTTTTAACTACTTTTTATTGATTTCAGAGAGGAAGGGAGAAGGAGAGAGAGAAAGAAACATCCATGATGAGAGAGAGTCATGGACCGGCTGCCTCCTGCACGCCCCCCACTGGGGATGGAGCCCACCACCCGGGCCTGTGCCCTGACCAGGAATGAACCCTGACCTCCTGGTTCATAGGTTGATGCTCAACCCCTGAGCCACGCCGGCCGGCATAGGACTCAGCTTCGCCCCACAGCCCTGGGGGCTCTCACCCCTCAGAGAAGGGGCTCTGACTCCCAGGTGCTCGCAGTCTCAAGGCAAGGGGTGTGTGTGGTCCCTGCTGCCAGGTGAGCCCAGGCTGCTCATGCCAGGCCTGCAAACAGCCATCTGGTCCCCAGGACAGGACACCCCCCTGCATTAGGCCGAGGAGCCGACCCGGTGGTCCCAGCTCCCCGCCCCGGACGGCTCCAGGTGAGGGGCTTTGCTCACCAAGGTCCAGGCCACGAGGCCGAGGGGATCCTACTGAGGGGGGCTCTGGGGAACAAAGGGGGTGCCAACTCTGTGATGGCAAGCCCGGCCTGGAGGCCCCTCCTGGCTCGGAGCTGGAGCTGGAGCTGGGCTCTCGGCCGGCGAGGGAGAGGTGCCTCCCTGGGGTGAGCCTCCGGGGGTGGCTGCCCCCTCCCCTGCCCTCTTTTGCCTCAGCAGCTGGGGCTCGGAGCCGCCCAGGTGGCTGTGCAAGGCGGGGCGGCAGAGGCAGAGGCAACAGCTGGGCCCCAGACAACCCGCAGCAGCTGGAGCACAGAGCCGCTCCCGGGGCCCAGGAGGGAGCCGGCCCTGTGGCAGGGGGCAGGCCCGTCCAGTCCAGGGCCTTGGGTCTGGAGCTGCTGGACATCACGATGCTCTGAAGGCCAGGGATGGGTCTGTCGGAGTCAGAGCCGGGTCCCAGGTGGGCCCCCTGTGCACTGACCGCCCTCCACACCCTCCTCCCTCTCCCCCAGAACCCCCCGGCCAGCCTGGGCCCCGCGTCGGCCCCAACTCGAGCCCTAGCTCTTGGTTCCTAAAGTGTTCCATCTCTGGCACCCTTTTCCCGGGAATCGGGCACGTGTCAGGAGGACCACACTCCGTGGGTTAACTCTGTGCTCACCTGGGATCCTGGCTCCCTCCCCCATGGCGTCATCCCCTGAGGAGCAGCCTGGCACTCTAGTCCGAGACCCAGGCTGCCCCTCCTACGGTGGCAGGGCCCCTCTGAGCTCCCGTTTTCCCAGGCTCCCTTGCAGCTGGGCACGCACAGGGCAGAAGCTCAGCCAGAGGCACCTGGCACCCACCTAACGGGAACGGGAAGCAGAGAGGCGGGAACGACTCGGAGGCCACCTGGATGGGGCAGTCAGGGAGGGGTCTGGACAGAGAAGGCCGGGTCCCACGTCCAGCATCCTGTGTCCAGGGTCCACTGGACCCCTGCCGCACGGCACCCTGGGACATGGTTCCTGCTCCTCGTGCCCCAGGCTGAGTGTCTGCCCCCCAGACATTCCACCAGCCCTGAGTGCCAGGGACCTTGTCCCCCTCGGTCCCCGAGGGATGGCCAGCATCCGCCCAAGAGTAAAAACATTCTTCAGCACCTGCTCCCTGCCCCTGCCCATCCTGCCTCACTCCATGCTCCCACGCCCCTGAGGCAGGGACAGGGGAGGAAGCACGCTCAGAGCCCCAGCCGCAGGCCCGGTGGGGGCAGAGCCAGGCCCCAGGGGCAGCAATTGGGCCATGAGTCCCCCACGTGCAGCCCGCAGACATGTGTCTAACGAGCAGTGGGGCACGGAATATGTCCCACTTCCCAGGAGGGCTGCCCGAGCTCCACCGCCCCCTCCCCGGTCACCTGCCATTCTGCCGGCCTGTGTCCATCCTGCCAGCCATCCCTGGTCTGACCCTGTGGTAGACTGTTTTTTTGTTTGTTTGCTTGTAGTTAAATGTATTTTTATTGACTTCAGAGAGGTAGAGGGACATAGAGAAAACCATCAATGATGAGAATCATGGACCGGCTGCCTCCTGCACACCCCACTCTGGGGATGGAGCCTGCAACCCGGGCCTGTGCCCCGACCGGGAACCCAACCCTGACCTCCTGGTTCCTAGCCCGAGGCTCAG